TTGATAAACACAAAGTCAACTGATTAGAGACTGGCAATACAGCTGGAAAGTCCCTTCACATTTGTCATATAACCTAACATAATGGGAGTGGTATCCCATCAGATTCACAGCTCCCATCCACACTCAGGACGGGATTATTCTGCCTGTCTCACTTGCCTCTTTTTAAAATCTACATCTCTTGGCTTCCAACAAGGCATACTCTTCTTAGTCTCTCCGTGTCTTTGATGGTTTCTTTTCCACTCTATCTCTCCATTTCGTAAATGTTGAGGTTCCCCAGAACATCCCATTAACCATCCAACCTGTTTCTTGATCCTATATCTATTGTTTTCCACTGGCCGAGGACCAATTTCCTACTAAAAATAAATCTAAGAGAAGATTCTTTTTCTTCCAGTCACTTGCTGAAGAACACAGACTGATCAGATAATGAATAAAACAAAAGCAATCTATTATTCTGCCATTCTTAGATTCATTTGGGGAGAAAGGGAAAGATTACTAGCTTAGGGGAGTATTATTGGTTCAGCTCCAGATACTCAGGGTAGGGTAAGTTGTTCATGGATGGTGAAGAAAACCCTGAGGATGGTTGGGAAGACTTCACCAGATCGGGGGATAGGCAGTTGTGTCAGCTGATTCTAGAAGATGTAGCTGCAATAGCATGGGGGGGAGTATTGTCTTGTTATGCCAAGGTACCTTAGAAGAATATAGGTGAGGTCATGGCTTTTATTGAGAGGGACCAGATATGAATGAATTGGGCAACATTGTGTTAATTCACCCACCCATGATTTCAAAGTTTATTGCTAAAAACAGTTCGATTCTTTGACATCAGCCATAGAAACATTTTTCTAGATATGTCTCCTCCGGCAAGGGAAACAACAGCAAAATTGAACTATTAAGACTACACCAAAATAAAGAGCTTTTGCATAGAAAAGAAAATCATCAACAAAACAAAAAGGCAACCTAACGGATGAATATATTTGCAAATGGTATATTTTAATGAGGAGCTAATATCCAAAATATATAAAGAACTTTTTTTTAAGATTTTATTTATTAACAGAGAGACAGAGAGTACAATCGGGGAGTAGCAGGCAGAGGGAGGAGCAGGGAGCCCGATGTGGGGCTCGATCCCAGGACCCTGGGATCATGACCTGAGCCGAAGGCAGACGCTTAACCGACTGAGCCACCCAGGTGCAACTTCTACAACTCAACACCAAAAAAAGCCAAATAATCCAATTTAAAAATGGGCAGAGGACCTGAATAGACATTTTTCCAAGAAGACATCCAGATGGCCAACAGACACATGAAAAGATGCTCAACATCACTAACCATCAGGGAAATACAAATTCAAACTACAATGAGATACCACTTTATACCTGTTAGAATGGCTAAAATTAAAAACACAAGAAATAGCAAGTATAACTAAGGATGGGGAGAAAAAGGAACCCTCGTGCACTGTTAGTAGAAATGCAAATTAGTTTAGCCACTGAGAACTGTATAGAGGTTCCTCAAAAATTAAAAATAGAAAAAAAAAAATAAATAAATAAATAAATAAATAAAAATAGAATTACCTTATGATCCAGTAATTCCACTACTGGGTATTTACCAAAAGAAAAAACAAAACAAAAAAACCCACTAATCGAAAAAGATATATACACCCCTATGTTTACTGTAGCATTATTTACAATAGCCAGGATATGGAAGCAACCCAGTGTCCATTGATAGATGAATGGATAAAGAAGATATGATATACATACACACACACACACACACACACACAGTGGAATATTACTCAGGCATAAAAAAGTGAAATCTTGCCATCTGCAACAACGTGGATAGACCTAGAGGGTATAATGCCAAATGCAGTAAGAGAAAGACAAATACTGTATGATTTTACTCATGTGTGGAATTTAAGAATCAAAACAGATGAACAAAGAAAAAGATGAAAGACCAGACTCTTAAATACAGAGAACACACTGGTGATTGCCAAAGGGGAGATGGGTGGGGAGTTAGATTTGAAAAACAATTTTTTAAATAAACTCAACCCCCATTGTGGGGCTTGAACTCATGACTGCAAGATCAAGAGTTGCGTGCTCTACCGACTGAGCCAGCTAGGCACCCTGGAAAAAAATTTAATAAAAAAAATAAAAACAAATACATTCTTAAAATTTAAGTGAGCATTTGCACCTAAATTTCACCTCTGTCCTCTAGCAAAATTGAGGCTCTTGCATACAACTTAAGGTCTTCAGTCTTCTGCAGTCTTCTTAATTTAGGAATAGCTTGGTGGAATTTACTTGCAAGAAGCAGTGCCTTTCCTCTTTCTGAAATGACCTTCATCTCTTTTCTTACCTGATTGGTTTATTGTTAAAAACCAGCTTAGAGGGGAGCGTGGATGGCTCAGTCGGTTGAGTGCCTGATTCTTGACTTCAGCTCAGGTCATGATGTCAGGGTCATGAGATTGAGCTCCACATTGGGCTCCGTGCTTAGCAGGGAGTCTGCATGAGATTCTCATTCTCCCTCTTCCTCTCCCCCTCCCCACCCCATTCTTTCTCTCTCTCTCTCTCTCTTGCTCGCTCTCAAATAAATAAATAAATCTTAAAAAAAAAAAAGCTTAGGAAAAAAGGCTTAGACATTATCTCCCTACTAAAGCACTTTCACTTTTAGAAACCTGCCCCCCAGTGTCCATCCTTGAGAAAGTTAATCCTTTTCTCTGTTCTCTTCCAGATTTATATCTATTACACCTATCATAATGTATTACAACTTACTTATTTACATGTTTGTCCACCCTACTAGTCAGATCCTTGCTGGTAGAAATTGATATATTCATTTTCTTTTTTTTTTTTTTTAAGATTTTATCTATTTATTTATTTGGAGAGAGCATGCAGGGGGAGGGGCAGAGGGAGAGAGAATCTCAAACAGACTCCCTGCTAAGCGTACAGCCTGGTGCAGGGCTGGATCCCACAACCCTGAGACCATGACCTGAAAGGAGATCGAGTTGGACACTTAACCGACTGAGCCACCCAAGGGCCCCGGCAGTATATTCATTTTCTTAACTATAGTGCCTGACACAACCAATGCTTCATAAGTGTTTTAAATAAAGAAATGAATCAGTAATTGCACTCATCCAAATCATAGTATTTTCACCCACTTGACTTCAAGTAACCAGATCTGATTTCCTCAGCTACAGACACTGACCCTGATATGCCTCTTTTTACTTTGCTCCATGGGTATATATATGAAGTATTGGCCATCTGTAGCTAGTTTGGTCTGGCCTAGAGTTCTTTGCCTTCCCAGCACCCCACCACCACCACCAATCACCATGTTTTAAAGTCATAAGACCAGACTTCCAAAAAGATATTATGGCTGGGACAAAGTCTTTTTGTCCTAAAGCCCTGTAAGTTACTCCAGAAAGTAAAGGAAAAGAAAGTGCTTGGCACAGGGTATAGCAAATAGCCAAGGATCTTCATTATAATTCTTCACATCTGAGTAAACTGAGCCTACAAAATAGAAAAATAGGAGCTATCATTCCAGCATCCTTAGGTTTGGGTATGGACCAAGGAAGACCTTCAGAAATCCCATTTTGAAATGTACATTACATTTTTAAGGCTGTAGATGCTGAATAATTTTAAGGTTATATAATATTTGGACTACTAAGGAGACTAATTTTATGGTCATACTTAACAGAGAGCTTAGAGATAGTATCTTCTGATGGTCATCCACTGAAGGTCCTTATATATTTCACTGTTGAAAAGCAGCATTAAAGATGATATAGTAGCATCACTAGAAATATGGCCTTGGAAGAACATAACTCCCATATTAGAAATGTCTTTTTAATATGAGAATTCTATAAAATATTGATGACTATAACATAGGAGTATAGAATTAAGAGTGTGATATGGATAACAATGCTTCATTGATTTCAGAAACCTTTATGTAGCTCTTCTTCTGGAATATGGGCAGAAATTAGTTTCATGGTTTTCTCCAGTCATCATTTTCTGTTGGTTCTTACCTCATCAGAAGATATCTGACTATAAAAAGAATCTTTTGTGGATGGAAAACAGAGCCCACAAGGTGACTAACTTTTTATTGTACAAGAAATGATGTTTTTAAGCTAATAGCTCTAAAACCAGGTGAAGGTAATAAATGATTCAACAAAAATTGGAACATGCATGTGATTTTTTTAAAAGATTTTAAAACACGTTAATATTATGCATGATTTTCCAACTTTTTTTCTGTTTTCAAATTATTCTAATAACAAAGGTTTATGTAGTAGACATACTCCCACAAGGTTGTGTTACCATATAATGTGAACGCATAAGGTCAGATTTTAAGAAACTAAGGAGTCACAGACTTCTCATTTATCTCTTCCCCAAATGCAATGTTTTATCTTTCATTATCTCTAAACAGGCACACTGGTAGGAAGAAATGGAAAAGTGGGGAAAAGTTGGTTATGTAGGATTTTTAGTCAGAAAACTTAATAGGAAATATTAAAATAGTCAATTAAAATCTGATTGTAGTTACTTGTTATCAAATATTCTTCAGACCCAGTCTTTTGATGCTATTAGTTCTTAAGTGAGGAGTTTTCACTCTCAGTTCAACAGGTAATCTTTGAAGGTGCCATAATGGTAGAAAACCACTCTGGAATTATGGGGATAATTTAGGTTTTTCTTAAAGATTCTATAATGATCAGTTATTTATAAAGGACCTATTACACAAAACCAAATTGTTTCTTTTGTTTTTTGTTGTTATTGTCTGTTTTGTTGTCCCTGTTTTACTGTGATTGTTTGTTTCAGCTTATTATTTTAGATCTTTGCCTTCTAAATGGTACTTTATCCCCTTATTTTCAATTTTAATTTTTTTCAGAAAGATATTCTGCCAATTTGTTAAACCATTTTGCATTTCTAACATGTTTACATAAATTTATGTTGAAATACATTCAGATTATCAGCTAAATGAGATAATTAATAGCCAGTGGCATCATCAGTGATACTATACATTTTTCCTTGTAGAATGGTCTTTTCATCATGACTTTGCGTGGCATTGTTTCAGGTAAATCAACCAATTGATTATTATATTTTATTTTTATTATACCATGAGTAATGCCTCTTAATGAATGAATGAAATTTATTGGGGAGGGTTTCTTTTTAGGCTACTGTGTTTAAATAGTGCTACAATTTAGTTATTCCACTGAATCCACATGGAGTGCGTACTTGACATAGTTAATAAAAGATTGTGTTAGCTTTCTTTATATTGAGCATTTGAGAAATACACAGTTCTGTTGTGCATTAGGATTTGAATTCCTTATGTACAAGAATATTTACTACCTTCTTTGTTTCACTTCAGAATGACCTTATTTAAAAATGTATGAGGCTATTTATAATCAACTCTGTGGCAGTGATTAAAGAGGTGTGAATAATAGGTTATTGGAACTTGACAGCTCCTGGTTTGCTAAACTAGTGTTAGAACATTTATGCTGCTCAGATGTACTTTATTTTCCTAAGGTAGGAATTTCTCTTTTGACATGTGGGTTATTGGCGTAATATATTCCATAGGTTTTTCTCTTTAAAGTGGTTTACCAAATCATAGTATTTTATTGATTTATTTTAGGTTTCATATTTTCTTCAACTTAATGAATCAACATTTTATGCTTAATAATTATAACCTGAGTATGGGTTATTAATCAAACATCCGATATAGACAGAGGATTGGTCTCTTAGCAGAGCAATGGCCTACTATCTGAAGCTTTCCTATAGACAAATGAAAACAAGATTTTATTTTTTTAATGGAAAAAACCCTTTCTTACAGAAAATTTGAAAACGTTTATTAGGTTGATACTCAGCAGTTGTTACTTTGGGGGAAATGTTAGTACTTCTGGAGACATTTGGGATAGCACAATATATATAAAAAAAAGTTGTATACTTAGTATTTCAGCAAACGTTTATTAATTTTAAATATCAAGACCAATAAAACATTAAATTAATTGAATTTGGATTAGATATTGTTTTTATTTAAGAACAAAAGGAAATGTAGGAAAGTATTTTAAAATTTTGAGTAAACCAATAATTAACCTAATGATTTTTCACTGTTACCATAGATTCAGAGCACTTTGTCAGGTGCATTCTAAAATACACTAAAGATTTATTACTGAAATCCATTTTAGCATTATCGCTCAGTTATCCCTAACCAGCCAGGAGGTTAAGGTTTCTAAAAAAGAATGAGGTTGGCGAAACTGAAGCAGAAAAAGACAAGCTTCACAGAAAACAAAGGTTAGGGAAATAACATTAAAAATTACTCTGTATATATTTCACTATATGTCTGAGAAATCTTTAACCTAAAAAAAATGCAAAATAAACCCCATCTCTCAGCAAGACAAACTTCCTAAGCTCTTTACTTGACCACTGTCCTCAGTTGTGATCTGTAGCATCAGAGTCTCCCACAAATTTTGAATTGTCCCCATTTTTAAAGTTTTTAAACTGTTCGGTTTGAAACTACTTTTTGACTTTATTTTTCCCTTGCTTTATTTTTTTCCAAGTCTGAAAAATTATTGTGAAGTGGCTTGTATTTTTGTGGAACTTAAGGGCGTATTTTTCTAAAACTGAACATCTTCCCATCTGTTGAGAAACTGGAATACAAATGTTTAGCATAGCGTGGAAAAACTGGTCAAAGGTGTCAAACAGAATTGCATGTACATACATATAAACTGCCCAAAGGTTTTGTGAAAATTTAATGTGGTGATGTATTGAAAGCACCCAGCAAGAGACTTAACATTTATTCCTGGAGTGCCATAGTACTTTGGAGAGAACGCCAGAGACATTTTTAATCCTTACTTTCCTAATTAGTTTCTGTGTGAATTTGAATGGTCTGCCTAATTTCTTCAAGCTTCATATGCCTTTTTCTTAAAAAGTGATAATACCAACTCTAGCAATCAGTCTTACAGTATTGTTCTGAGGGTGTTCTGGTTAAAGTGCTTCGCAATTTGTAAAATGCCACAGAGTTGTAAAGTTTGAAGATGTTTTATTCCTTGTCAGCTTGAAGATTCAAGGTGAATACAAAACAAGTGACCAAGAGAAAAGCTGACTCTCCACCCCTCCCCCACCCAGGGTGACTCAGGTTGTCAGATGTTCTGAGTTAAGAGATACTTGGGAAAAACAGGATAGTTTGGGGAGTTCCCTATGGATATTCATTGACTTCAAGTTCAGTTTGGTCTTCTGAAATGCTTTTCTCGAAAGACAGTTTTATGTCAGTAATTTCACTCCAAATTCTAGAATACTACAATATTCTGATTATAGAGTCAGTCTAACTTTATAGATCTGCAGTAGTGCAGAGAACCCTCGTGTTGTTTAGGTTTTACAACTGGGGACGTCCTGTGTTCTGACCATTCAAGTGCACAAGCTAATCCCACCCGTATCCTGTTTGTGAGTAATTGGATAGATGCCTGGAAATTCTAGTGCCAGATTATAAAGCACCTTCTACAATAGAAATCTGTAGTTGGAGTGTTTATTTACCTTCTCCCTAATCAAACACCTCCTGTAGGTGAGTCTCTTTGCTCAAAAAGGCAAGATTATATAATAAGCTAGATGCTTAGTTATGTTTCCGTAGTCATGCTTCGCATAGCATTTCCAGTTGATCTGGATGGAAGACATATCTAAAGTACAAATATAAGGCTGTAGTCTTTCTGTATAATTGAGGAAATAGGTTTCGAATTGTACACCTATTCCCATGAAAACAGAAGAGATCTTTTTGGGAAGAGAAAGAATTTCTTAATTATCTTCTTATCTAAAGCATTAAGAATAGGAAAATACCATTATACTGATGGTACTACAATACCATCATTGTAGTCTCTATTGCTATTCCATTTTCTTTACCAAGTGTCAAATGTATGGTTAAAAGACAGATGCATACAGTTGTGGGCAACCTTGTCTTAATTCAGAAAAGAATTCTATTGTTACATCTCAGGAGGATATATGTAATACTGCTGCCGTTTACTGCAACATTGTGATTAAGGGCACAAGCTCTGGAATCAATATCCTGACTATGAATGCTAAATCCACCACTTACTAAAGATTCTAATGGGTATGGTGGAAATAAAACCTCCCTTCTGTCTAATTGCTACATTCTCACCCATAATTAGTGTATTAATAAAGACTGTTTTTGGTTGTAAGCTTTAGAAACCCAGCTCAATCAGTTAGGCATAGCCTAAGAGAGGGAAGAGAGCAAGGAATGGATTTTATGGATTGATCCCGGGGTTCAAACTGTATCATCAAGACTCAATCTCAATCTCTTTCTCAATCTCTCTTTCTCTGTCTCTTTCTCTAATTCTTTCTCGCCTCATCTCTCATCTGAGTTATAAAGAGCTTGAACTGGTTCTTTTAAAAGTCGATGACTGTCAGGAATACCATAGACTGAATTCCTACTGAGGGGAGGAGTCTCATAGGATTCTGGGATCCTGTTTTTGTGTTCTTAGTATGCAGTTGTGCATATGATTTTGTAAATCTTTTAATTTTCTTAATTATACTTCTAAATGATATTTGAAATAATACACTGTTTAAAATTTCTTACTGTATCAGGTACAAATTACTAGAATGAATCAAGGTGAAATGCTTATAAATATAGTTGTGTCCTAGGGAAACTGTGTGTGTATGGTGTATAGGGCATTTATTAATCACTTACTGTGAATCATTTACTGTGCTAAGCAGTTTACATAAATTACCTAATTTGGTCCTTTAAACAGTCTTGTAAGTGGTTTTTTTTTTTTTTTAAAGATTTTTATTTATTTGAGAGAGAGAGAGCACACGAGAGGGGGGAGGGTCAGAGGGAGAAGCAGACTCCCTGCCGAGCAGGGAGCCCGATGCGGGACTCGATCCCGGGACTCCAGGATCATGACCTGAGCCGAAGGCAGTCGCTTAACCAACTGAGCCACCCAGGCGCCCTTGTAAGTGGTTTTTATTATCATGTTATATGTAAGGGAGCCAAGACTTAGGAAAAAACTTGCCCCAGAACAACCAACCATTGAGGGTTTGACCCATAATTTGAACTCAAATCAGCCTGACTCCAAAACCTCTGTTACATGGTCAGATTATACCTTTATGGCTTTTATTAATAAACTGCCTCCTTATGCAAGCTAAATAAATACTGCCTTTTAATATAGTATCTTGCTACTGTTAATAGACATGACTTGAACTTACTGAAAATTGTCTCTTTTTTCAGTTTAATAACTACCTAGTCATATGACTTTTATCTAAATTTTCTAATATTTCAATGTTAAAATTTAACCAATCTGAACCATAAAATCTAATTTTACTTTTTAAAAATTTTCTACCACTGAAAATACAGCCTAAAAATTTTACCCTTGACTATAGATTGTTACTTGGAAAATAAATTGCTGCATAGGCACACACCCAGTCTGTATGGAAAGCAAAGCAGTTTATGAAAATATGTTAGCTCTTATTTAGATCATAAGCCGTTCTAGCTACAGAAACATTGTTTAGAAGGAACTTCTGTAGCAAGACAAAATTGAAAACAGAGACTTTAGAATTTAGCATAATATAAAGTTTACAGTTTACAAAAATTACTTTATTTAAATAGCAGTTATTTTATCTGCTTTTATTGAAGAAATAAATTCCTGTGATTCAACTTAATGGTACACATTCTTCTGCATGGAGTAGGCCTGATTGTGTAAGGCTTATCAGTGCCTACTCCATGTTGCACAAATAGTATATTAGTTTTGCAGATGTTTTTGCTTCTCTCATCCAAAAGACAGACTTAAGAAATATTTTATTCTTTTTCCAAAAAGAATCTGTAGGGCTATATGGAGAGAGTGATGCATAGTCCTAAATTAGCAGAGGTCTTGTGCTTATATACAAGCAGCTAATCTCTCACCTAGTTCCAGGTACATGTCTTGGTTGTTGACCAGAAAAGCACCTGGCCAGAAGCCCACATATCTCTCCTGTTATTCTCCTTCCTATAAATGTGGTCTTGCTTGCCAGGAGCCTTGCCTCAAACTACACTGGAAACAAGCAGCATTCATTACACTATAAATCTCTAACTAC